TTACTAATTTTCTTTACTTTATATCCCTAGAATATAAAGTAAAGATGACAGAAACTCTTATAAAACTGCAAAATATTGTGGTGTTGTGTGTGTATTTAAAAGCAAAACAAAAACTCCCATATAAAGTTCAGTCCTTACCCCCTATATCAATATCCTGGCTCCAGTCTGCTTTGGGATTCCATGATGAGTATGCCAGAATAGTGTATGTTGGGGCATCAGTCACAGAGAGCGGAGTCACCATTTCCTGGCTGCTCTGGATGTCAGAAACCTTGTTCTAAAAGGTAAGTTTTCAGCTGAGAATGTGTTGAATGTCTCTTTGCATTTATATGGAAACATTCAGCATATTTCTAAAACGTATTTGTATTATGTTTGCATTTTTAAAGTTTACTCATAACTTGACATAGCTCAAAGTCACATTTTATACTTGTCCTCTGCCTAGGCCTTCTTTTCTCTTATTTTCCTGTTGTTAAACCCTGTATCGTGTTTCCAGAAAAGAAGTCGTGTTTTGTTTGTCTGCTATGTGGAGCAAGATGGTAACTAAATTCTGTTTAATATCATTCTCAATGATCTGGACAAGGGCACCCTCAGCCATTTCAGAGACAACGGCAAGCTGGGCAGGAGTGTTGATCTGCTGGAGAGTAGGAAGTCTCTGCAGAGGGATCTGGAGAGACTGGATCAATGGGCTGAGGCCAGTGCTGTGAGGTTCAACAGGGCCAAGTGTCCTGTCCTGCCTTAAGGTCACAGAAACCCCAGACAGCGCCAAAGGCATGGGGAGGAGTAACTGAAAGTGTCCAGTATAAAAAGGACCTGGAGGTGCTGGTCAGCAGCGGCTGAACGTGAGCCAGTGGTGTCCAGGTGGCCAAGAAGGCCAATGGTGTCCTGGCCTGCATCAGAAGTAGTGTCTTCAGCAGGACCAGGGAAGTGATTGTCCCCCTGTACTTGCACTGGTAGGAATCAAAGCATCTGGAATCCTATGTTCAGTTCTGGGCTCCTCACTGCAGGAAAGACATTGAGGTGCTCGAGCGTGTCCAGAGAAGGGCAATGAAGCTGGTGAAGGGTCTGGGACATAAGACCTGTGAAGAGCAGCTAAGAGAGCTGGAGCTGTTTAGCCTGAAGAAGAGGAGGCTCAAGGGAGACCTTACTGCTCTCTACAACTATGTGAAAGGACATTAAGGCCAGGTGGTGGTCGGCCTCTTCTCCCATGTAACAAGTGCTGTACGTTTCTAATGAAAATATACCATCAGAGGTCCAGCCTGAACCTCCTAGGTTTCAGTTTATAACTAATCTCCTACGTTTTATCATTTGGTATTTCTGAGAATTTGCAACACAAACATTTGTAAAAACAAGCCTGTTATCTATAGAAATTATTAGGCAGCTATGTAAGGAGGGAGTTAAGTCTGAGTTATTGATTTGGCCTTTTTTTTCTTCTAGAAAAAACCCACAAGACTGTGTTAGAGAATGAAATTGCATAAGAAAAGAAATGCTAAGTTTTGTAGTGATGTGACTTAAGGTTATAGATACATTTTTCATGTCTCTTTTTACTATTTAATATTTAAGGAATAATAGCTTCTGACCTTTGCAGAGATCTTGCATGTTTGCACAGAAAATCAACTGAGCTACAATTTAGAAGAATGCCATTTGACATATATTTGTTTTGTGTTGACTGTTTCTGAGGAGAGAAGGTTCTTCTCATGGCTTAAATTTGTCTGTGTTTCCATTAACAGGTTTATTGTCAACTCCAAAACCCAAGTAAGAATGATGAATAATTGGATAAAGGGAAATAATTTACATTTTTAAAATTTATGTTGCTATAAAATTTACATTGAAATATACATTAAAATGTATAGTTTTCCAGAAACTATATCCAGTGGGTGCTATTTTTCACAAATTCACAGGATGAGTCGGGTTGGAAGGGGCCACAGTTGGTCATCTGGTCGAACCTTCCTGCCCAAGCAGAGTCATTCCAGAGCACATGGCACAGGGTTGTGTCCAGTCAGTTCTTGAATATCTCCAGTGAGGGAGACTCCACCTTTCTGGGCAATCTGTTCCAGTACTTGGTCACCCACACAGTAAGGAAGTTCTTCCTCATGTTCAGGCAGAACTTCCTGTGCATCAGTTTGTGCCCATTGCCCTTGTCCTGTTGCTTGGCACCACCAAGAAGAGCCTGACTTCATCCCCTTGGCACCTTCCCTTATAAGCATTGGTGACATCCCCTCTCAGTCATCTCTTCTCTAGCTGAACAGGCCCGGCTCCCTCAGCTTTCCTCCTGTAGAGATGTGCTCCGATCCCTTCCTCTGTTACCCTCCACTGGGCCTGCTCCAGGAGCTCCATGTCTGTCTTATACTGGACACAGCACTCCAGATGTGGCCTCCCTAGAACTGGGTGGAAGGACAACATCACCTCCCTCAACCTGCTGTCAGTGCTCTTCCTAATGTACCCCAGGACCCCATTGGCCTTCCAGGCCACAATGACACACTGCTGGCTCATGGACAGCTTGTTGTTCAGTGGGACCCCCAAGTCCTTCTCTGCAGAGCTGCCTTCAGTGGGTCAGCCCCAGCCTGAACTGGTGTCTGGGGTTATTTCTCCCAAGGCGCAGGACCCTGCATTTGCCTTTGTTGAATTTCAGACACTTCTGCTCTGCCCATCTCTCCAACCTGTCAAGGTCCCTCTAAAGGTCTGCACAGCCTTCTGGAGTATCAGCCACTCCTCCAGCCTTGTGTCATCAGTGAACTCACTGAGGAGGCCTCTGTCCCTTCATCCAAGTCATTGATGATTAAATTAATACTGGACCAGTATTGAACCATGGAGGACACTACTAGGAGCAGGCCTCCAACAGGAGCTAGCTCTCAAATTCAGGGGGCGGGGATTCGTTAGTTTTTTGGTTCATTTATGTAATCAGGGAGAAATGTGACTTATATTTGTTCATAGTTGTTCTTCTGTGAAGTGTTAATGAAACCAGTATAGCCTTGAAGTCTGTCCTTGACTGAGTGTTCTACTTGTATCTGGCTGCCTGATACAGTTACCAGTCTGCTGGTATTTATGTCTCATAAATACTTTTTTTTTCTATTTCAGCTACAATCTTAGCCTTATTTAAAGACCAGTTACTCTGAGAAATTAATAATTTCATGTTGCTTTTACTCTGTAGTGATTTTTCATATCTTTTTAACTCTACATTTTCACGCATCTTCTTTGCTATATCAACTGCATGTACTGCATTTCTGTATCACAATAGTGGTGATATTGTTTATTTTTGCTATTTGGTTTTTGTTTGAGACAATCCAGTAGTACTCTGTAGTATATAAATTCATCCTTTTAAAACTGTCTATGAAGTGTTTTCTGTGTCTTACAAGAAAAATCTGTGCACATAATGTCCTTTCATATGTTAACAATTAATTTTGATTACTGACATTAGGAGATGATATCAGATGCCCCAGTAGGTTACAGTGAACACAGGAGCTGTTTTCTGTTGCAGTGGCTAGTGACAGGTTTTATGCTGCAGTGTGTAACATGTGCAGTTGTGACTGGCCAAAAGTGAAGGAAATTAAAATACAGTTTGCTGACTTGTCTGTGTGTTCCACAGTGATCATTATGTGGTAATGTGGTGTAATATCCTACTTAAAATCTTTGATTTCATAAGTTTAATTGAAGAATGAAGGAGTAACTATTCATTTTGTTATGTAATGTGTAGATGATTGTTTATAAAAAATAGATACCTGGTCTTCAAACAAGCACTTAGCCTGACTGATCTTGCTGTACATTGGAGAGATCTGCTTAAATGTGTAAAAAGTCCTTAGGAAGATCATTCTTGTAGACTGCTGAAAGGCAGCTATGGCAAGCTTTATCCAGATTTTCCTGCCCTACATTTCTTGGTGTGCTAGACCACAGGAAGCTGTGAAGGATATAAGAGCTGTCAAAAGCTAAATATGTATATGAAATAAGTAAGTTCCCAAGTCTTTCTTCTTTTTCATGCAGAACCATAGTCTCTTCATTGTTTTACATCCTTTCTGACAAGTCAAGAGCTAAAATTCTCGTTTATATAAAATGCAGAGTTAGTAGCGTGGCAGAAGTACTGGAGTACATCACATCTCTTTTAAAAGTGTTACATATATATGCACTGTTCAGTCTTTAATGTAATGAACTACAGAATAAAGTTTTGGGAAGAAATATTTACAAGGGGTATCTATGAGTGTTAAGGGGTGAGTTCTGCAGCACTATGACAACCGTGGTTGTTATTTCCCAGTGTCTCTTATCCTCATTTTTACTTTCCTGATTTAAGAAAACATTAATTTTTCATAAAAGATTGTAAGATTACATATATCAGTTTTGAAAATAACACCATTTTTAATTATACATTAAATTAAAAGCCTAAAAGTTTTACACTGGAAAACTGGTCTTTGCTGCATAGTCTGTTGCATAAAAGACTAATTTGCAAAAATTTTCTTTTAAATAAACCCTTTATCTAGAACTTCAAATAAAATGTAATGCAAAAACTGTGGGAATTTTATCCCTGAAAATTACAGTAATTTTTTTTTTTTTTTTTTACAAATAGTAATGATAGAATTTGTACCACTTATTTTAAATGAGATTAGGGTAAGATTTCCTGTAGAAATTTTGTCTCTGATTGTGAAAAGTTACATATGTGGTTGATTTCCTTGACCTGAATGGATTGCTACCTATGCTAGTTACTCCCCTCAGTAATTTTAAATACATGGTGTTTTTGCAGGATCCTTCTTCAGTTTTAAGTTTGACCTAGAAAAAATTAGCATACTTGCAGTATTGCATTTTCAACTAGGACATTCTCTCCCTAGTTTAAAAAAAAGTTAAAGTGTTAATGTCTTACATAGCTTACAAGTAGATGTAACTCTGAAACTTCTTACTATTTTCTTCCAGTTACTTTGGTCAAATACTGTATTAGTGTACCAGGATTATTGTAGTACTAATAAAATCTAACAAGATTCAGGTCTAACAGAGTGATAAATAAATGGAATTTATGTTTTCAGGGAAGATGGTACCACCGGAAGCAAGCAGTAAAGGAATTGCATGGTACGTTGTTACGACTGCTTAATGAACTGTTACCATGGGAACCAAAGCTAATTAAAGCGTTTCAAAGAAACAGGTAATCAGCTGCTTTTTTTTTTAACAATGGAGTATGACATGAAACAAGGAACAAAATTCACTTTTTTACAAACTAATCAATGAATTGGCTTCTCTCAAATAAATTAAATGAAAATACTTTGAGGAGAGGAGTGAGGCACTGGTAGTACTTTACCTGAAAGATTTTATGTTCCAGACCTATCATTTTAAATAAAGTTGAGTTAACCCTCTAATGCCTTTTCTTCTAAATGCTTTAGAAACCCTAAGCATACCTATCAATAGTGTATCACAATACAACTAGGATTTGTGCTGCTGCTTATTTGGTTAAGAGATGCTGAAGACCTTTCTCTAGAAAACTATACTGGGGCTTCTTAGAATACTCTACTTACTGTCTAAACTTACATAAATTGACTGTTAATGAATTCTCCACAGAGCAATTCTTGAAGCATTGTTTTGAGGTCTTGGTAATCCTGTAAATTAGAAATGCATGTGGAATGAGACATGTCAGAGGAATACCAGTGGCAGATTTAAATCTAGTAAGGGCAAGTATTAGTAACAATGAAGATGCTATCCTGATTATAAATCATGGAGAGATTAGGTGTTGTCTTCAAGCTTGGTGCTGCTATTGTTTGTCAGCCATATAGCTGTTGCTATAATCATACCTTAGTTTTGCCACAAAATTAAAAAGCAAGTAGTGATTAAAAGCTTGAACTCTGTGACAAAGGATAGCAAAAGTTAGGCAGGTGCTTAAACGTTAAGTGTAAACTTACAGCTATCTGGTGCAAAACTAATACTGAAAAGTGCTAAAGGTATTATGCTTAAAAAACCACAGCAACATAACACTGAAGACAGTAAACAGATAGAAATACTAAGAGTTTGGTTCCTTAGTAGCTCATTTTATGGATATCATGGATGAACTAAAATTCTTATTTGGAAATTTAGAATATTGTTGAGCATTTTGCTTTAAACAATTGATCCAAGTACAAATTTTCGGTTTTTTTCTGTTCCTTTCTATTCACATTTCTGTTCATTTGCCTTAGCTGTTCATTTCTCCCTGTTTTTTTGCAATTTAGACTCCTTCTGGAAATAAGGCAGATAGTATTACTATTAGGAAGGATTTAATTTTCCAGTACATGGGGTGTCCAGTTTTATAATTTTTGTAAATTCTGCTGTGGAATGGTTTGATGCCCAGTATTAGTTCTTGTTTAGTGAATCACAGAATCATAGAATGGTTTGGGTTGCAAGGGACCTTAAAAAGCATCTAGTTCCCACACCCCTGCCATGGTGGAGTTCACAGCCCTATCCAGCCTGGTCTTGAACACTTCTAGGAATTGGGTATCCACAGCTTTTTTGGGCAACCTGCTCCAGTGCCTCACAAGCCTCACACTACAGAATTTCTTCCTAATATCCAGTCTATGCCTACTCTTTTTCAGTCTGAAACCATTCCCTGTCACTACATGCTCTTGTAAAAAGTCTTTCTCCATCTTTCTTGTAGGCTTCCCTCAGGTCCTGGAAGGCTACTGTTAGGTCACCCCAAAGCCTCTTTTCCAGGCTGAACAATCCCAGTCCTCTTAGCCTTTCCTCAGAAGAGAGGTGCTTTAACCCTCTAATCACGTTGGTGGCCTCCTCTGGACTTGCTCCAACAGTCCTTCCTGTGCTGAGGACCCCAGAACTGGATGCAGTGCTCCAGGTGGGGTCTCACCAGAGCAGAGCAGAGCGACAGAATCACCTCCCTAGACCTGCTGGCCGCGCTGCTTTTGATGCAGCCCAGGATACAGTTGTCTTTCTGGGCTTCAAGTGCACATTGCTGGATAATGTCCAACCTCTCATCTACTAGCATCCTTAAGTCCTCCTCAGGACTGCTCTCAGTCCCTTTTTTTCCCCAGCCTATATTGATACAGGGGGTTACCCCAAACCAGATGCACTTTGCACTTACCTTTTTAAATCTCATGAGATTCCCATGGACCCACTTCTCAAGCTTGTCCATGTCCATCTGGATGGCATCCTGTCCTTGAGATGTGGCAGTCACACCACTCAGCTTGGTCTCTGCAGATTTACTGAGGGTGCACTCAATCCCTTCATCTGTGTCATTAATGAAGATATTAAATAACACTGGGCCTGGTCTGGACCCCTGAGGAACACCACTGGTCACTGATATTCATCGGGACTCTGAGCCATTGACCACTACCCTCTGGAAGCTACTGTCCAACCACTTTCTTATCCACCTAATAATCCATTCCTCAAATCTCTCTCTCTCTCTCTCTCCAATTTACAGAGAAAGATGTTGTGGGCGACCATGGCAAGGGCTTTACAGAATTCCATATGAATGACTGTAGCCCTTCCCTTATCCACTGCTGTAGTCATTCCCTTGTAGAAGGCCACTCGGTTGATCAGGCAGGACTTGTCCCTCGTGAAGCCCTGCTGGTTGTCCCAAATCACCTCCTTGTCCTTCAGGCACCTTAGCAGAGCTTGTAGGAGGGTCTGTGCAATGATGATCCCAGGCACAGAGGGGAGGCTGACAGGTCAGTAGTACCCTGAGTCCTCCTTTCAACCTTTTTAAAGATGGGTACAATGTTTCCCCTTTTCCAGTCACCTGGGACTTCAGCTGATTGCCGTGACTTTTCAAGTATCAGGGAGAGTGTTGTGGCAGCTGCATCAGCCAATTCTCTCAGGACTCTGGGGTGCATTTCATTGGGTCCCACAGACTTCTGTGCATTCAGATTCTTCAGGTGGTTGTGAACCTCATCTTTGCTTACAATGGAGGAGACTTTGCTTCCCCAGTCCCCTCCTACTGTCCATCCACTCAGGAGGTGGGGGAAGAGAGTCTGCCATTGAAGGCTGAGGCAAAAAGGTGTTGAATACCTCAGCCTTCTCAATGCTGTAGTTTTCCAGCCTTGTTTATAAGAGGCAGCCCCTGGTGGTCTAGTGGTAAAGGCGCCGCGCTATCACCGCGGAGACCCGGGTTCGATTCCCGGTCAGGGCCACTCCCGGGCAGGTGGGGCTCGTTAGCCCTTAAAGGCAACCCACCTACGTCCTGAGGACCTCGCTGCCACCGTCCAAGCTCGCTTGGCCCCGGCAGATGAACCTTAGGATTAAAGGGTGGGCTCAGTTCCGCGCGCACTGTGTCTCACCTAAAAAATCCAATGCGCAGGCTGGAAGGTGGAAAGACCTTCCCCGGATCTTCGCTCGCGAAGACTGGCCATTATTTTATTTATAAGAGGGGGTACACCTTCTTTGACCTTCCTTTTCTGGTTAATATATCTGTAGAAGCCCTTCCTGTTATGCTTTACATCCCTTGTCAAGTTCAGTTCCAGATTTGTCTTGGCCTTCCTCACCCCATCCCTAAAAAACCAAACTTCATCTCTGTACTCCTCCCAGAGTGTCTATTCCTGTTTCTGTTGCCTGTGCATTTTCTTCTTGCTCTTCAGTCTGACCAGCGGTTCCCATCTCACCCATGCTGGTCTCTTGCCTTCTTTGCCTGATTTCTTGCCCACGGGTATTTCCAGCTCTTGTGCTCTGTGAAAGGCTTCCTTAAAGATCTGCCAGCTCTGATCTGCTCCCTTGTCCCTGAGGGCAAGGGCAGTTTCCCAAGGGATCCTGTTGACTATCTCCTTGAAGAGCTGGAACTTTGCTTTCCTAAAGTTTAGGGGCCTAACTTTACTCCTTACCCGACCCATATCCCTCAGGACTGCAAATTCCACTGATGCATGATCCCTACCAGCCAAGTCTTAATGTCCCAGATCAACTCATTAGTTTGGTGCCCATCATATCCAGTATCACATCCCCTCTGGTAGGGCTGCTGTCTTAAGAGCCTGTGGGCACGATGTCTCCTGTAGCTGGAACAGGAAAGCTTTGTCAATTGGCAACCCTTGATCAGGGGCCTGTAATGAAAACCAACCACAAGGGTCCCTTTGCTGCCTTATCTCCGATTCTTACCCACAGGCTTTTGACCTGCTTGTGACTGTTCTTCAGAGAGAGCTCTTCAAACTCAAACCACCTCTTGATGTAGAGAGCAGCCTCTCCTTCCTCCCCTATCTCTTCTGAACATCCTGTAGCCATTGGTAGTCTCACTCCAGTCATGTCCCAAGTTTCAGTAAGGTATCAAGACCATAACTTTCCAGCAGCACAGTGGCTTCCATCTCCTCCTGTTTGTTGCCCATGCCATGTCAATGTGGTTATAGAATACAGAACTGTCATTTAAAGTGTGTTCCAGTGCTATGTATGAGCTGTGAGTGATAGGAGTACATTTTAATCTGGAACTGGATAAGGTTGAGACCTTACAGGTATGTGTGCTGATAGCTAGAGAAGCATGCTTAGAGTGTAAGGTAACTTCTGAGATTAATTAATTCAACTCATATTTCTTTAGTATTTATGTTTTAGGCTGTAACCATAGTTTATTCTACAATAATAGCCTGAATATTTCCATGACGTAACTGTTTGGACATACACCATACACATAGTATAGGAGGGAACAGCTCCATCTGAAACACAGTGCTACTACATCATGTGGAGGAAAGAAAGATGGGTGAGGGATTCTAAGTCAGTGTCTTGATCTTGTTCATTATGCAGCTTCTGTAGCAGCAGTAGCAGTGATGAAGAAAGGTATCATGTAAAAGGGAAAAAGCAATTGAGTAAAATTTTCTTATGGTGGTGTAAACATCAGAACCACAAGTCTTGCTGTCAGTGCTGTGTCTATAGGGTATCTCAGCGAGCTGCTAATGACTACTAATTGAACAACAATTCTGATCTTCTGAGTTGTGGAGGGCTCGGTAGAGCTCCTTCTTATACCACACTGTGGAATAAGGGTCTGGAGTTTTCCTTCCTTTTTTAATGTCTTTAACTAGTAGGAGCACACTTTATGATCAAAATCGTTTTCTTTCCCATCTGAAAGGTCCTCTGGTCTCTTCAAAATTATGATAGAGAATAATGTTGAATGGTATTTTAATAGCAGCAAGGTTTAAAACGAAAAGTTACTTGTGCCCACTGATTACAGCTGTATACTAGGCACACAGCAGAAGTTCCTCAAAAGAAAAAAGGAAATTCCATCCAGAAGCTTAATACAGTAGTGGTTCCCTGGTATCCTTCTATAATTCTTCCACACCTGGACTCCAAGCTCAAACCCTAATGACAGAGTTGAAGTACTGTCCACACTGCATCTTCATACAGGCTTCAATGTTGTCTTTTCTCAGTGAGAGTGCCAAAGCTGTGAATAAACAATAACGTCTCACTGACTCTTAGCGGGCCCACGTGGCCCTCCATCCACACCAGCTGTCCGTGGGTCCAGGATCCCCATTTCAGGTCATTCTACAGCCTTCAATCTCTGCCAGTTTTTATTCCAGTTTCCAGCTCAACTACATCAGTTACTGTGCCTGGTCTTGGGGTCCTGCTGATCTGGACTGACTCTCAGACTGACCTACCTGCATCAACCTTGTGGAGCTGTCCAGAAATCATTCAACTGGGTCCTGACCCTGGCAGCTGTCACTGGACCTGGTCCTGATCTAAACCTTTGAATTGATTTCCCAGCTTGGCCTCAGACCTGCCTCAGCACCAGGAACTTGCTGTTAGTCTGGGCTTTTGGTTGAACCCAGTTACCCCTAGGCCTGCCCTGCTGCCTCATTCAGGGGCAGTGGGATGATGTACTGGTTGGTGATGCTTGTGCCCTGTGAGCTGTGACATCATGCTTGGTTCCTCCCTCTCTGTCTCTTAGAGAGCTACTGGCCATTGCTGCACTCCGTGCAAACAACTGTTATTTTAATGCAAAAGAATGGGTAAATTTAAGATCTTCTTCGTAGTGTCATAAGGGTTAGGTCCAGAATAGAGTCTAGATTCTATTCCACACAAGGTGCTAATTGCTATAATTTATTTATTCATTTGCTAAATAATTCTGGGTATTGTGTTGGTAATCACCAGCTGAATCATGAAGTTAACTGTATTTGTACACTAAAATAGCCACTAGATCCCATCTAAACAAGGGTTTAGAAGCAGGGACAATGGAAATGTAGCAGTTTAGCAGTATCAAGGTAAGTGGATATGTTTCTGGATGGTGTTCCAATGAGTAAAGTAGCTATGTATTTCTGTTATGTGTGAACCTATGGAACTGGTAGAGGCAGGTGTTCTCTAATGGCCCAGAGGTAAGAAAGTGTTCTCTAAGGAGAAAGTTACAATGCAGTCCCACAGCTGGGCCAACAGCGTGATGCATTCCAGAAAAACGAGATTTACTTACTTCTCTAGCTGGGGTTGCTGTCAGAGGAAACAGTAGGATTGTTACAGTTAATACTCAAGTCCATATAGGTAGGCTTGTCACAATGCAAGGCCAAGGAAGAAACAGAAGATGGATGCAGTAAAACAGTGATGATCTTATTACTTGACTCAGTCTTTTTGCTTATTTTTAGAGAACTTAATGACATAGGATTCTGTTTTGGTAAAGGAAAGGACCTTACTGTCACTTCAGATTTTCTGGGTTTCAGAGACTTACAGACAGAGCTACACTGAAATTTTTTGAGGGGCACAGGCAATTAAATGTATACCAACTTTTTGTATGGCAGCAAATACAAATAAAAATAATGTTTAAAACAGTGTGGTTTTAAAGTAAAGTTAGTTTTGTTATTTTCAAGGTCTAGATTGAAGAAGGACTATGATGACTTTAAAAGACATCCAGACCATGATAAATTTACCAGAGAATTGTGGAGTAATGATGAAAGTGAAGTTGATTCTGGCAAAGAATCTTTTGCAGTAGTATGCGGTAAATCATCAGAGTCTGCAGAACATGTAGAAGTTCCCAAAAAAGATCACTCAGACAATGGTAAGCATTTATTGGAATTCAGGAGCTTGAACTTGATTCAGGAGCTGAATCAAGGTGATTTGGGAACTCAGTTTTTCCATGTGAGCTTGTGTCCTGCTTTTTACCTTAACTACTACTGTGATAATACCAAAATAGCTTGTGATATGCATCTGTCAGATGTAGACTTGAAGAGGGCAGACATGACCAAGAGGAAAATTCTCCTTTATTTAAGTGTTTGCCATTTCTTTTTGTGCTTAACTATTTCTGTGATTAACATGGTAGACCTGTGTGGTATTTACTTTTATGGGGAGGTTGACCTTGGCTGGCTGTCATATGCCCACCCAGCCACTCTGTCACCCCTCTTCCTTAATGGGACAGGGAGAGAAAACAATGTAGAAATGTTCAAGGGTCAAGATACAGACAAGGGGGATCACTCACCAGTTACTGTCACAGGCAAAACAGACTCTCTTGGGAAGAATTAATTTCATTTATTGCCAATTAAAAATAGAGTAGGATGGTGAAAAACAAATACAAAAGCTAAACCTCCCCCCCTTTCCCATTTCCACCTTCTTTAAAGGCTCATCTTCATTCCCAATTCTTCCAGCTCCTCCCCTGTCAAGTGGTACAGGAGGGATCGGTACTGGGAAGGTCAGTTCGTAAGAGTTAATGTCTGCTGCTCCTTCCTCCCCCTTGCTCCAATGTGGAGTCCCTCCTATGAGATACAGTCCTTCACAAACTGCTCCACTGTGGGTTGTCTACACAGACTAGAGTCTTTCAGGGTAAGACTCTGTGGGTCCCCCATAAGCCAGAATTCCTGTCAGGAGCCTACTCCAGCATGGGCTCTTCATGGGCTGCAGCTTCTTTCAAGGCGCATTCACCTGCTGTAGAATGGCATCCTCAACAACCTGCAGTGTATATGCCTGTTCCAGCACGGTCCTTCATGGGAGCAGGTCAACCTGCTTGATCATGGGTTGCAGGGGAATCCATTCCAGTGCCTGAAGCACTTCTTTCCCCTCCTTCACTGACCTTGGTGTCTACATGGTTGTTTTTCCTACATTTTGTCCTCACTCCGTTCTGTCATACCCTTCTGCGAAGCATTTTGCATGAGACATCACCAGCCTGGCAGACAGGCTTGACCATGTCCTGCAGTGGATCTATTTTGGGATCAGCTGTGTCTGGCACAGGGCAACTCCTGGCCTCCGCCCTCACAGAGGTGCCCCTGCTGCTCCACACTGCCAAATCCTGAATGCATGGCTCCTCTGTCCACCTGGCACCCCTGCCTGCATCCTCAGCCCTCTTACCACTTCATGCATCCCCTGGTCACTGACTGGTTCAGCTTGATGCTCAGTGCAAAACTGGGCATTCACATCTCTGTCCCACAGGCATCCCACCCTCACAAGTCCACCTATTCTGCCAGCCCAGAACCCAAGCCCTCCTGTTTACCAGCTAGTCTGGCTTGAAATTCATCAGTGAATACACACACACTGCCCCCATGCACAGTGGATTTGGGGAGGATACAGACATTCACCCCGCAGCAGATTGCACCAGGCACACAGACTGACCTCTTGCAGCCATCCTTGCAGCTCCCCCTTCCTCTGCACTTCCCTTCATGGATTTGTATAGCTCTGCCAATTCCCTCACCCTTCCCAACCCAGTCTCCAAGATCTCCCCTGGTTTATAATCATATCAGGTGCAAAGTCCAGATTGATCTTCCTGCAAGGGGCATCTGCAGTTTCTTGATAGCCCATCAATTAGTATGATTGGTGAGGCTGTTTCTTGTCATTGTCTCCATTTTTATTTTGTTAGATCTGTGTCTCTGTATATCTTTTTTTCCTGGCTTCTCCCTTTTTCCCCTCAAAATAACCTTGCTGGAATAAACATTCTCACATTCTCATATGCCATTAACAATTAATGTGAATGACCAGGTTTAGTTTTCCTCACTGTCTCCCACTGCTGATCAGGTTTCAGTTCCTGAACTGTTTTTGTTTATTACTTCCTCCTTTCCTTATTACCCCCTTTCTCATTGAAAAAGATCCTTCACCAGATGCCCTTAAAGAAGCAGACATTTCCTTCCACTCTTGCAAATACTGCCTTTATTTAGACTCTATAAAATTGTTTCAGTTTCAAACATGTAAAATGCAGTTTCTGTTTTAATATCCTTGCAGATGAAATGAAACTATTAGAGATGAATTTACCTGCAGGAAAAAACAGAATTCTGAAAAAAGAAACATCTTCTAAAGAAATCCAGAAGACACTGCCCAAATGCATTAAACGACAGTTCAAACAAAACAGTTGTCTGGATCAAAGCACTAATGAGCTTTCACCGAAGAAGAAACCTAAGCTGAACACTGTTGAGACCGTGGTCCAGAGTTCAGAAAGTAGCCTGCAACCGGATAATTGTTTGACTGAGCTGAAACAATTTGAAGGGTCAACTTTAGAGTTGTTTTCCCTGACAGATCCTACAACATCAGTATCAAACTTTCTGAAAGGGACCAAACCCATCCAGGCCTTGCTTGCCAAGAATACTGGGAACAAAGTGACCTTAACAAATCAACCATCGCCTCCCCCAGGCATAAGTGTATCAACTTCTGAAAAGTCAGTTTTACCACCTTTGGAATCATCAGTGATCAAACCAGCATTGCCCTGCCAGGCCAGTTCAAAGACTCCCTTACAAATGGTATACAAAATGCCAAATGGCCACTGTGTACCAATAGACCTTCAGAATAGCTCAGTGAAAATTCAAATGCAAACTGTGACTGACCCTAAAACTGGAGAAAAAGTCATGCAACAAGTTCTTATTTTACCTAAGAGTTTTCTTCAGCAGCAAGAAGGAAAAATTGTGTCCAAGGATGTTCAGCCACTACAGCAAAAATCATCTGAGCTGCACTGTGCATCTTTACCAAAAATGTCAAATGTCAGTGTTTCTTTAACACCTGTTCTCATGACAGGCTCTGCAAATACTACCAGTCAGTCACCTACTACAATTTTTAGCAAGAATATTACCCACTCCCACTCGTCACAAGTGACTGGTTCCATGAACACTACACTATCATTGCCTGATGTAACTTCAGCAGGTAACTTGCTATCATCAACAGTTAAGGTGAACCATTCTGAAACTGACAAAATCAAGACTACAGTTTTAACTGCTACATTCCCTGTGTCTTTGACTTCATCTACTCTTTCCACATCTAGCCAGTCCTTGATACCAGCAACAGCATTAAGTGGGTCTGCGAACACTGATTCTGCCTGTCATAGTCTTGCCTCGCAGCAGCCAACTGACTCCTGTGAAACTAGGCAAGAGCTGAAGACCGTGTGTGTAAGAGAATCACAATCTATTCTGGTAACAACACGAGGCGGAAACACAGGCATTGTTAAAGTGCAAACAAACCCAGACCAGATTTCACCTAGTAGTTTATCTTCTAGTCCAGTTTTCACTTACACTTCTCAACTTCAGGCCTTTCTTGTGCCAAAAACCACAGCATTATCATGCTCTACTGTTCCATCTCTAGTAACAGCCACATCTGGTCTCCAACATAATGGACAATCATCTCTTTCTGGATTTGCCCCCTCAACAGCTTCTTCTGTTAACATTCCAGCTTTCCCAGCTGATTTTACCCAAGCAATGGGGAAAAATATCAAATTTGCACTACAGCAGGCTGCTGTTGGGGACACTTCAGGTCAAGTAATAGAGAACTCCTGCTATGTGTCCTCTCCTTTATCCTCCGTTTCTTTAGCTAGCAACGTGATGTCCACAACTCCAAACAGTCCTGTTAGTGTGACTAGCACTGGGCAAAATAACACTACCATAACTCCAAATTCTTCTGTACAGCATCAAGGGGATACTAAAACCAAACCAAATTCTGTTGTGCAATCTGAGTCTAATTCAGCAACAAGTGGAAGTTTAATCAGTGGTGCTCCAGTCCAGAAATTTACATTAGTTACAAATTCACCAGTTTTGTCTCCCTCTAGAGCATCAGGAGTCAGTATTATACCCTCTCCACCATCCACTGTTGTTAATGCTCAGAAGCTGGTTTTCGTTAACACACAAATTGCCAGTGGCCCATCAACCACCAATCTAGTTGCAGAGTCATTGAGACAGAACCTTCCTTCTCCCCTAACCAAAACCTTCGTTAATGCCACAGAGCAACCACATTTGGTTTTGATCCCATCTACAGTAGGAGCACCAATAAGAATAAATTCATCACCAACTGTTGCTCAAGTAAAAGATGTAAAAATTGGATTAAATATAGGTCAGACCATTGTAAATACTAAAGGCAATGCACAGGAGACCCCACCAGTTAATATATTGCACTCTGCCATTTCTAAAGAAGACAAAAAGGGCATTGGCTTGGCGCTGTCTTTGACAAGTAGCAGTACTGTGGTTCCTTCTCCAGCTTTTGGTGTGTCAGCTAATGAATCTGTATGTGCTGCAACAAAAGCTGAAAATGCCTTTACAACAGCAAATGCATGTGTAGAATCTGTTTCAGTAACATCAAGTGGGACTTCTCCTGGGACACGGTCCACTGTCTTGAGTGGTGGCAGTGATCCCTCAAGAATAAGGCCAGTTCTGGGTAATCGACTTTGTACATCAAGTATTGGAAATATGGGCATATCAACTGTGAAAACAGGACATCTTGCTTCATCTGTGCTGATTTCAACCACACAACCAACAGTATCTCCGCAAAACTTAGCATCTGCTTTGCAATTTCCATTCATTAGCTTGCCTGGATCTGCAGCCGCCCCCCAAAAGGTGTTACATACATTTCCTCAGTTAGCAACAGTTCCAGCTCCTCTTCCAGTATCAAAAAGCCAGTTGCCAACATTGCTTCAGTTTCAGTCATCAGGAACTTCAGCTGCTATGGCAAGTCACACAGGTATTCACAAACCTCAGACTGTGTTGTCTTCTCCGTCACCAAATACAGGTAAAGTCATTAGTTTTCCCAGTTCTTCTGCCCTAAAATGCCAGCAGGTGCCTCCCAGTACAGAGAAACAAAGTCATGCTTACACTTGTGCTTCTACCGCTCAGATGTCTGCAGCTTCACCAGCTGTAACAAGCAAAACAGGAGGGGGTCAATTGAATGAGTCTTGCATTCAACAGAAAATAGTCATTAACACCTGTATGCCTTTGGCACCTGGAACTCAGATAATGATTAACGGTACTCGTTTTGTTGTTCCACTGCAAGGACTTGGAGCTGGCAGCCACGTTCTTCTTCTCTCCCGTAATACGAAACAGACTCCTTCAACTGTTAACCGTTGTCAAGAGGCTCAAGGTGTACCAATTGTTAATCCAATAACCTCAAAAATCATCTTAGCACCAAGTAATTCATTAAGTTGTCAAATATCAAAACATCCTTTGAAAAGCTCTACAAAAATTATGAACTCTATTGGGGCTGCAGATGCTTTACCCATTGTACATGCAGCACCCCAGATATTTAGTACTCCAGGTAGCTCATCTGCTCAACTGTCTGGGGTAACACTGTCTGTGTCTTCAGTGACAAAATCTCCTATTAATGTTGTAGCTACGTCTTCTGTTGTTTCTGCCGTTCATCCTCCGAATTCTCATTTGCCAAGCAACACTTCAGTGTTTCACTTAGACACTTCTATCAAAAAACTGTTGGTCAGTCCAGAGGGAGCCATTTTGAATGCTCTAAATACTCCAGCACCAAAAGTTTCTTCTCTGTCTTCATTGCTGCCTCCTGTTGTTGTGTCCACAAGCAGAAATCCTACCACTGTCTTCCCTGCATCTCAGTCATCTTGCCTTGATAAACCTGACAAAGCTGCATCCTGAATTTACTGCAAATGAGCCACTTTGAAATTTTGGGGCATTCCTCAGACTTTACAAGTTGTAACTATTGGATAATTTCTTACAATGTATGAACCAGTTGATTTACTCAACATTACTTAAGGTTACAGTTCTTTCCTGTTCACCTGTGGGGATTAAGAGGAAGAAAAATTTTAGTTTGTCAGAAGTTTTCAGAGAGTACTTTAGTAAAAAGGTCAGAAATGACCAATGAGTTCATTAAACTGTTTGGAGAAATCTCACCTTTTGCACATGTTCCATCTTACATTATGGACTGTTTGCCAGTGTGTTTTTGACAGTGTATGTCTTCTTTTATTTGTCAAATTAATTTTTGATCTGTTTCTTTAAGGAAAATATTTATGCATTGTAAAAATGCAATCTATAGTATAGAATTTACATGTTCCTGAATTCCTAACAGTCCATACTAAACAATATGTACAAAGAACTCTGTCTTATTTATGTTTGGTTTACATAATGTATAGTTTTTTAAGTATTTTAGTAACTTTGGACCAGTGTACTGTTTAGCAACTGCAGAAGAATCTGCATATAATAAATCAAGTTGCTTTACTGCTTTGTGTTTGCAATAGTTAAAAATATGTGTATCTGTTACACCATGGCAGAATACATACATACATACATACATATATGTATGTATATGTATATATATGTGTATATATATGTATGTATGTGTATACACACATCTTTCTTTTCGTGTGTGGTAGAATGAAATTATTTAACCTCTTTTGCTTTTCTCTGCTTTTACATTTCACATGATTTGGCAGGATTTGGAAGGAAGGCCTTCTTGTTGATCCTCGTGATACAGGGCGGGATAACCCATACTTCATCCGTTCTTAAGAACTATTTGGTTATATTGCCTAAATAACTCCAATGATGTGGTAAGGCTACAAGTGGCTTTCCAGACACCAGTTTAAGTCACACTGGTTGCTGTTAAGGACTACTATGTTTTGTCTTAGAGCTCATAGATCTGTTGAACAGTTCATTATTCTCTTTTTTACAGCCTTGTATGCATTTCCACATGTTTGGTAACTGTAACAAGGTCACTTGTTGGTCTTCTGTCTAGCCATAACAACTACCCATTTCTTTTCACTAGTCATACTTTCTAGATCTGTATATTTTTCTTTAACTTATAATTGGTCTATCTGGAATGATAGCACTAAAGCATCACACAATATTAAAGGAAGCTTTATTAGTGCTTTGGGGATAATAATATGTTATATAAACCTTCCTTTTTTATGCAGTGTATTCAGTATTTGTTGACTTAGTTTCAGCTTTTGATCTGATGAAACCTTTGGGTTATTTTCTGCAGATCTACTGAGTTCACAGCTGCCTCCTGTAGTGCTCTTGGAGACAAGTTTTTTGGCATCTTTTGAGGTTTTGCATATAAAGAAAGGGTGCTGATCTTATTTTATGGAAGATGATGATTTTAGAATTGCTATCTTTGTATGTGTTGATTTTTTGTAGAGTTTAGTATTTTTTAGAAACTAGAAGGGAAGATTTCAGAAGAACTTACAAACGATAATTGCCTTTTTAATAGCTATGACTTCAAAGGGGATAAAAGCTTACATATCCGTATATAGCAGAATTTCTTAGACTGAGTTTCAACAAGATGAAACTTCAGCCTTTGCTCTTCATCCTGTTGAATTTTCTTCTTCCCTTCCGTTTTTGCTATACTAGTTTGGCAGTTTGGATGTTGAGTTGAAGAATAGGACCACGGCTTACTCCCTCTGTGTCGGTTGCCCTTTGTATTGTTCTGAAAAGTAACCTAGTAGCTAGTTAGCTAGAGGTCTGGGAAAGTGGGGGAAGAAAGGCTTGTGCCTTCCATAGGGACCTTTCCTTTTGCACTAACTAATAAAATTGCATTGGGAAATTGCATCTTTCCATCTTATCTCAGGGCTGAGATAGACGGAAGCTTTCAGTTTTGGAATTAGAGAAGGTTTGTTCAAGTTTTAGAAAAAGCTACCTGCTACACCTTTGCTACTTCTCATTAAAGGTGTTTTGTAATGGATTTTGAAAACACCTAGTACTAAGTGTGTCTGCCCATCAGAGCTCACAGTATTAAGGATTTTTAAATCTGACTGCATATTGTAGTTGAATGCTTCAGTGACTTTTCCAACAGAGGAAGATGGCAGAGAGTTGGCAGTTTCTTCTTGTACATTTTACATACTCTAAAACCATATATACCAGAAGCTGATTTTATTTCCATTTTACTGGTGGAACCATGGGACTCACTGTCTTGGATTTTTCGTCTTTTCTTGCAATGGCAGTTTTTTCCTTTTTTTTTTTTTTTTTTTTTTTTTCATTTAAGTTTGTTGTAGAGTGAATATCTACATTATTTGGAAAGCTCAAGACTAGGTTATGCTATTGCAGATATTCTTGATGAGGGAAAAAAATCTTGCATGACATTTTTCTGTGTGCTGATGTAGTAGAAAAATTTATACTATAATTGAAAGTTAGAAAAGCTGAACTTAAAAACTCAGGACTCAAGTAACTTGCCTGAATGATTTCCAAGAAATTTTTTTTAATTAATATGATAATATTCTATGATTTTTATAAATATTGTATAATTTGGAAGACATGTACTTTACAACATGAAAAGTTTGAGTCAGCTTAATTAGAGTTTTCATGGACTTTTAGTCTGTACTAGATGTGCTCAGATTCCAAGTCCTATTGGAGAAGGACTTGAGACCTCTATGTAATGGGCTTGCATCCTTCATTATGTAAAACCAAATTTTAGTAATTTTTTTGAATAAAATTCCTATTCCCAACATTGTTCTCCAATAATATAAATGTCAGTCAGAGGTAAGGTTTTGTTTCAAATGCAAGTAGATAACCACTGACAGTTGGCTGTGTACCTTTTGTTCTACCAAATGCATAGCGCTACTTATAACACAAAAAGAACTGTAAACAAGTGGATTGTATTCACAGACACAGTGAAAAAGCAGAACTACCTGCATCTTTACTTGAAGTTAAAAAGACATTTAGTTACACATATAAACATAGATATATAGATCAGCCTTTTAAAAAAAGGTGTTCAACTTTTCAGAGCTTGCTTGTAAAATGCCTTACTTTTAGATCACTTCTGATATTATATACAGCTATTCATACATTATATTATATACAAAACTTTGGGTTTATAAATTACTGTGAATATTTTGAATTACATTCTTTGTATTTACCTACATGAACATGTTCTGCACAATAATTTTGGTATGCTCTGAGTAGAAAATTACGCTTCTTTTGCTTCACTGTTCAAACCCACATGTATGAACTGCCATTTTCTCCCTGGGGATTCTGCTCCTACCACACTAGGAGCAATTAAATTTCATGTGTATTAGTTGTTACAAAAGTATCTGTTCAAACCAAGTGTGTTACTGTTAAGTCATTCAAGCCCATGCTCATTTCACGGTGTTAGGTAGCAAAGGGTACAATGTGAAAACGAAAGCAAAAATTCTGGCAAGTGAAGAGAAAATAATTTGTCTTATGGGAGTAGGTCAGAAAATTACTAAAAGCTACCATTTGAAAGGCATCCATAGCCTTACCACAGAGTTAGTTTCATAGTTGGTTTTCCTTCTATTTTGTGGTAGTGCAGAATTTTAATTGCCCAAAATGGTTTTAAATTAATTAATCATTTTTAATAAAACACAGATGTTTGTTATGATGCAATTGTTTCCTTTAAAAAGAACAGCCAGGGGTGCTCAAGAGGACTTAAACTCATGTAGCCTGTTGTCTGTAAGCTGCGCCTGAAAAGAGTGAACTAACTCAAAGTAAGATTAATAATGCTGCATCAGACTTTAGGTCCATCATGTCTCTTGAAGCAGTCAACAGTAGCATTCCAAAAGAGCACAATAACAAGCCTGAATAATCTTCTAGTGTCCACTAATCTGTGAGCCAGAGTCTTCCTCATGCAGCTGTGTTTTTCTGCAATTTAATAGCTTTCAGTGTATTTCTCTTGATGAAATGGACCAATCCTTTCTAGAATTCTTGAAAGCATGCAAACAAACTGTTACCATCCACAACACTCAGTGGTAAAGAATTTGTAAATAAATCTCCTTTTTGATTTCAGAACCTGGCACCTGCTAGTTTAATTTGATGCAGATAATATTTATATTGTAAGATGCAATAAGCCTTTGCTGTTTAGTCATTTTTCCATGTGGCCTGTGTGAACCTTTGCCATGTTGGTTGTCTCTTCTCTAGAATAAAGAGAAATAGTGAATTCAATTGTTTCTTATATGGAAGTAATTAGTTGCTGTCGTTGTGTGTGCCTTTTTCAGTTTTACTGTGTCCTTTGGGATCAGAAGACTGCATATTCTAAAAGCACTGAATCTATTCAGCAGTGTGCTTATGTGTCTCATAATTATTTCAATGTTTGCGGGTTGGTTTCTGACTATTATTTAACCTTGTTCTAACTTTATCATAGAAATATTAATTTTAAACCAAATATACATCAGTGTCAAATTCATTTCATCCTATAAAACTATACCACTTGCAGAATATCATGGCTGTAAAGACATAGTCTTTAAACCAGACTACTGAAACCAGTGTAAGTCTGGCGCTCTCTGTTCCTGTTTTCATATGGTTTAGTTCTCTTGAAAATGTAAAAGGACAAGCAAAATTATTTTGATGATGGTTTTTTAACTCTCATTATTTTTATGGATAGAATACAAAGTTAGGTCTGTATATTAGGTGCATGGTCATTTTATACACATTGCCATCCACATAAAGATTTTTTAGTTGTTGAAGGGGCTACTTTGTAAATGTGATACAGAATGTTGTTATTTTAAAATATTTTCCTTGAAACCACAGTGCATAAAAACAAACTTTAAGATCTTGATAGACACGCATTTTCTTCTTTTCTCAAAATATGGAATTGTCTGGTCAATAGACCTGGGTGTCTGGCATAAACTTGGTAACCAGGACACTTCATTGTTGCGTATGTGATTGTTCCAGAAGTTCTTCAGAAAGTTGGTGTTCTTACATTGTCTTTTATTACAATCTCAGCTGGACTAAACATGTTAAGTGAAAATGGTATGTAAAAGCAGTCTAAAGAGAATGTAATTAATTGCTTATAGTATTTCTTGAAATTTTGTTTGTTACACAGAAGGTCTATTAAAATTTGCATAAATATGATTTTCCACCTTTTGCAGATGAAGGCAATGAAGTACTGAGTTTTCATAGCAACATGGAGGAACTGGGAATAGAATCCTTGGTCCCCTGAACTCCTTCCAACATCCCATCCATTACTAAAGGTTAGACAACTAGATTACTGCTTTATTTTCCCCTATTCTTGCTTTTTACAAAGAAGAAAAATTATTTAGAAAATTAAATTGTTTTCAAGAATGTGAGGGGCATTGACAGCATTTATAAAAATTAAATAGCATGGGAAAACAAGATAGGAAAGAAACAACTGTGATTTTTGTGATTGTCTTCAGTCTCTAGAACTTTGCTTGTCAATATCTATAGCATAAAAAGAAAACAATACTCTTTTTTAATTGTTCATATTGATTCCATCTAGTAAATCCACAAGTATAAGATAAGAGTACTTTGGCTGTTAGTAGTCATCAGCACCTGGTACCAGCATATACGTTGAGATCCATCCACATAATGTGCTGTTATTTGTAGAATCATTCCTCAGTCTTTTTTTTAATGACATGCAGCAGTGAAATAAAACATCAAAGAGGGATTAGTGACAGGATATTACCATGTAGCCACAGGGCATCTTCCTTGTAATAAAGAAAAAGAATTATGATGGGTTATTATTATTATGATGGATTCAATTTACACAGTATAAAAATTTTTACTATTATAATCAATTACTGAGAAGAAGGAATTGCTTACATCTATTTATGAAAACCCTTGTCAATTCATATTAGCAACACACAAATACTAAAATTACAGTAATTTGAGGCTCATCTGGCCAATATTCTGTAGTTCTTGTTTCTAGAGTGCTTTTCTGCAAAGTGATCTCAGAAGAAGTAAAAATGGGAGAGGCCTGTCTGGAAGTATTTTCCTCCTTCCTTGGTCTAAGAAATTGATGTAAAAACATTATCTTTTGTTAAAAAGCAGCCCATATTTGAAGGTGAGCTTCTTACTTTGGCACATGAAATGCAAGTGATGCGTTTCAGTACAGCAGTCCAGTCCTTGTATGAGCTACACCTTAGACTGGGCATTTGTCTCACTGTAGTGGCCAGCAGAGAATGCTTAGTGGAAAGAACAAAAAATAATCAAGTTTTCCCCCAGTATGTACACACATCATAAAAAAGTAATGCCAGGAGAATTTTGTGAACTCAGCCTGAGTTTGTCTGTGACATGAAAGAGCAGATTTTGCATCCAAAGAATCAGGTACTGGAGAAAGCTGAGCAGTAATGCAGAGAAGCAGAGCAGAAATAAAAATGACATAAAACCATAAAATTGCTTCTCGTTTAAGAAGTGGTAGGAGAAGCTAAACAGCTAAACAGAATCCTGCTAAACAGCAGAAGTTTTGAATGAGGAGCTGACTGAAATATCATTGTTGTCCTTCCTGTTGGTGAGGCCAAAATCTAAGAAGTGTAGATTACGTGGGCTGCATATCCCAAGAATTAAAAATGTAAGAAAGACAGGCTTCTTAAATCTGTGTCAATACAAAAAATGTTCAGAAAGAGTTTTCTGGAGATACAGAAAGAGGAGTAATAGGCAGGTATCTGATACCTTCTAATCCTTGCAGGGATTCCTCTACAGCAGATTAATGGTCATGGAATTTTGGTCAGGGTATTATTATATTACTCACTATACAATTTTGTTGTTTTTGTGCAAATCCTGAAGCAGTTCAAGTTTTTTCTGAATATGTTTACCAGATGACAATCCTAAAATTCCTCCTGAAAACAACTGCACGAGCAAATCCAGCACTGAATGGTGTCTAAAAAGGACATCTGTTTCACTCCAGAGTGTCAGGAGCAATGAGATGGTTGGGGTGCATGTGATGGTATGCAGAAGTAAAAATCAATTACTTCTGCCAAGGTAAGTGGTAAAGGACAAACTGATAAACTTGGAAGATAAACTTTTTCTTAGAAGGTGCTTTTCAACAAAAGCGAGTCAGATCTTTTCCCTACTAGGCACAAGAATGCAGTGGATGGTAAGGTAAATTAAAAAAAGAATTGGGAGAAAGGAAGGCTACTGTGTAAGCAGAGAACATAGCAAACATGCAGCAGAGCATTCTATTTCTCGCATCCAGAAATGGAAGCTAGCAGAATTGAAAAGACCTGACAGAACCATTGAAAGACCACAGTATTTATATTGGGCCATCACTCTATGTCTTGTACTAATTTAAACTCAGTTCATAGTTGATTTTAAATGCAAGAAAATGTACTCTTATGTCACATGAATACATAGATGTACACCCACAAAGTAATGGATATTTTACCAATATTAGACATAAACATGAATCAAAATATTCTGGCAATGCTATATTTTACTGAAAAATGGCAACCCATATGGCTAATACTAATAGAATGCTTAAGGCCAAGATAATATACATAGATCCCCAGCTGCAGCAGAAGTTAAGCCGAAAGAGATTGCTGAGGTGAATGTCACTAGACTGTCTACTAACTAGCTGGAAATGCCAGTCCTGTTACACTGGACTGGTGAGACTCAAAAATAAAGTAGGTGCTTCCTGTGAAAAGTTCTTGGTACATTCTTCTATCATAGCTCTCTGACATATATGAAGTATACCTTTCTGGCGCATGGCTCAGTGAGTGTTTTGCTATGTGGTTCGGGATGCCAGGAGGATTGAACTCATCAGGACCTGCTACATTTTACCTTTGGGCAGTGGCTGGGATGGCTGACCAGTATTCTGGAATCTTTGAAGGCTACACTGAGGCCTGTAACTGCGTTAGAAAGTAGATGATCCAGCAGGATCATTCCAGGAGTCCAAACATAGACAATACAACTGCTATCCAGGAGTCCAAACATAGACAATACAACTGCTAGTACCACTGCAGTATAGCAATCTGACCAAAATCTACTGTGTTCATGAGAGGCCTGGTTTTGAAGGTGTTCATTGCATCTTCATAAGGGTTGCATGCGTAGCTGTGAAGTTGCTATCTTCCTGTACAGATAAGCTTTAGTCACAGTGTGTCTGCAAGCCGCAGAAGCAGTTTAATGCAGACCAGTAGCACACAGAGCTTCATTCTGCAACTATAATCAGCCACTTGTCATCATCACCATCTTGGGGGGAAACTCAAAATGCCTATGAGTTTCTTCATTAGCTTTTTTTGATGGCAGAAAATAAAGCACAAATTTCATCTTTGTTCAGACTTACAGTTGTAATACAATGCCTCTGATTTCGGCCTAATTGAAAAGAGGGTAAAAACCAGAGAAGCAGAAGGTACTTGAGTTTTACACACTCCCTGTTACATATACTACCATACCAGATTAATTATAAATCTAGATTTTGGTGAGTAGTTGTTATTCTGGGGTCATATAACTATGTAATGTGAAAGACTTTCCTGGAAATTTGAAAACTCTATGCCACGTTCTCCATGTGTGGTTGTTGAGACATTTCTGTATATTTCTCTTTCTTTGTACGGGAACAGACTTCCTAGGAAGTTTTAACTTGTGCTTGGTGAAGTGCAGTATTATTGATTGTAATACAGTAAATACATAAAATAGCCAGTGCTTGCAACGTGCAGCTTTGGCAACTGCAGGTCTCTTGCTATCACAATCTGAACTGTCTTGTATTGGTGTTTAGTTAATGGATCAGCAGCCAGACTCTGCAGTGTACCATCACTGGATATAGAGCCAGATTTGAAAAATGGAATTCACAGTGGTGGTCACTGATAAAGTTTCCACCTATATAATATGGTGCTCTGTGAACCTCTATTTCATGCTCTTACTTTAATGCACTAATTAAAATCTGAGATCACTGTCTAACTGTGTCTACTAATAAAGAATACTGCTTTCACAGGGATTAGAAAGGGGAGAACTTTTCCGAAAACCAGAATAGGGCTTATCTATCTTTTAAGTGTCTATAAATTCATGTCAAAGTGTAATAGTTCCAGCTCTGGCTGCTGAGCAGTTTTAACAATCTGACCTTATGTAGTTCTGGAAATAAATTTATGTTTCTACTTTGTCAGTGTTAACTTCCTTGTGAGCTTTTCCAACAGCTGGTAACACATTTAGTGCTGACACTACTAAAAATGTGTTAAATCAAGTAAAGCCTTTTGAACTCTAAGCACTTTATTTCTCTATATTATATAATCTCTATGGAAATCAGCTTTTTTCTCAGCCATGAATGTGTATGTCAGTTCTATTCCACTGTAGCACTACAGAGTCTTTTGAAAGGATGCTGCCTTAGGGTAGAGAGATGCAGAGCACAGAGTTGCTAAAAATATTAGCCTCAAGCTTTAGCTTACCAGTTCTGCAAAAAAATTAGTTAGCCATTGTGTTCTCCATCTCTAATGCTTACTAGCTATAAGCTGGAATTCTGTGTATTCTTCTTCCTGTCACTCAACAAGTCCACAGTTTTTTTCCTTAAAGTATGTATTGGAAATGAGACAGGTAAGACAGCTCTTTGGGTTAAAGTACCTCTCTATCTTTCTAAATAAATATATCAACCAAATTTATAAAACCACATATATCACCTTTCACTACAATTACTGATATTTATTACCTTCCAACAGTTTTATACAATCTATATAAAGATTTATATATTACATACATTTATATATATATACCTTATATATATATACACCTTATGTATGTATACTCCTTAAAACAAACAAAAAAAAGCTTTTAACACAAGGCAGATTTACTTGCCTCACATAAACTCCATATATTAGATGCTACATAGATATTAGATATAATGAAAACATATGTCTAATATAACATCTATGAACAATGTATAAAAACATCTAAATAAATGCTTTTATTACAAAAGAAACATTTCAAAAAAGCTGTGTCATTATTTATCACCACCTGTGGAGTTTTATGTGAGGCAAGTAAATCTGCCTTATGTTTAATTTTTTTTTGTTGTTTTAAGGTGTTTGTATTTGCATATTTGGTGACAAAAAGCTGAATTCTTAGCTAATAGCAGTTAATTGATTTATGAAATTAGTTTTCTTCTATTACTACTTTTCAATTTAAGGAATGTTGTACAGTTCTAGCTGCCTCCTGCTGTGAGATATCAGGCCTTACGTATAAATTTGCTGATCTGAATGTCATATTAAGTAATAATCTGGCAAATAAGCAATAACAAAAAGACTAAGTAAAAAATAACTATCGAATCTATATTGCTAATTTATATGCATCACAATTCTTCGGGTTTTATTACTGCTAGTGTTCTGGCAAGCTGAAAGAATTAACATCTTGAAGTCTGTTGTCTTCTGTATTCTTCAAGTAACATGGTTTTCATGCATTTTTTCATATTGTTTCATCATATTAGAAACAGATGATGCATAAAGCTCTATGTCCACCAAGTTCTCTTGCTCTCTCTCAAAACTGCCATAAGGAAACTAGAGATGATGTTGTTATACCCATTGATGAGTATGACATAATATGGTCTCTAAGCAGTATTTTCTACGTTGCCTGGATTGTGTTTTATAAGGAATTAATTTATTACAGGTACATAAACAGGTGAAGTGAGGTAAAAGCATATTGTAAAACAGTTGCTTTTTGGTAATTAATTTTAAAACTGCTGGTTAGGAAAATAGTCTGTAACAGGATATGAAGTCAAAAGGGTCTGTTCATTTTGTGACAGATTCTTGTACATCACGTTCAAAGGAATATTTTATTTATATATTTTTTTTAAGGGAAGGGAGACTAAAAGAGAATGATGAAAATAAAGGTGCCAGTGCTTTTTACTCTTGATTGATACATGAATAATGTATACTTACACTTGAATCCTATGAAGGATTCAAGATGCCCAGAGCATAGTGTATTAATCTGATCACAAGAAATGAAAAGCTTAAACCAAAAGCACATTCAGATTTATTGAGGCATTTCAAAAACCAGGTCTGTAACTAAGTGGTTTCAGCAACTGCTAATGAAAGCATGTGATTTTTTTTTTTCTATGATTTTAGCTGTAAGAAAGTTAAGCATGTACAGGAAATTAAGAGGGAGCATGAAGAGTTTGAAATTTCATGTTATCATGGTGAATAAGGTGGTGGTGACTGATCTGCAGCAATTTTGTCATAAGCTGGTGGAGCATCAGGTACCTATGGTAAGGAAAGTCAGTGTGAGAGATTGAAAAAAACAATTGAGGTACAAGAATATAACATTAAACATGCAGCAAGCTATTTACCACTGTATTAGATACGGTTCAGTGACTTAAAATAGCTAAGCTCATTCATTAGGTCTAATTTTGCTAGTATGTTTTCTGGTTTTGCATCAGATTCATCTTACTGGAACTGTTCATCCAAAGAAAGATCTTTCAGTGTTGTAAAGGCAGGATATTATTTTTCCTAAAGATATGGGGGTTTTTATATTGGTAACTCAGATAAGTATTGAAGCTTTTCTGTGAGAGTCTTGGTGCAGGCATGTTGTCTTATTTCTAGGGTTAAAATTTGAGCAGCTTATTTAAAACTGATTATAAATTGGCCTTTTCCCTATTCTAAAGCCATTTAAACACACCCGTTACTTAATATATACTTATCACTTAATTTAACTTTTTGACAGTTAGAAGTTTGAATGTTCATCTCTCCATAATGATTAGATGAGCTAAAACCTTGAAGTTTTATAACATTCCCTGACAATGTTTGTCAGAGTATAGTAACACTAGACACAGTCCATTTGTTGTTTGTCAGAATGGCAGAACACCTACTGGAAAATGTTTGGGGTTTTTTCCTTATATTTCAGCATTTGAGTGTTAGATCATTGTAATAGATTGCATAATGACCACACAACTTTAGAATAAATGTAAGGGAAAGAAATTAATTTTTTTAAGAATTCTATATAGTACATTTTAAAAACCCTTTTCACAGTAAAAATTGTTCAAAATAGTACTTTCTAAGTTGATGTAGAGGTATTGAAGATGCTATCTAGAGAGCACACCACAAGGAAGAAATCATTAATTGCCCATTTACCAATATTGTCTCACCACATCTTACTATGTTTAAGTAAATGAGACCTTGAGTTGCAACTTACCACAGAATTAAAGTTTCTGTACTCCTGGAGAGTCATTTTGCAGTCCAGTATTGCTCCCTCTCCTACCACGTTCCGTACTGTGCTCACACTAGAGCTTTTGCTCTGTGACAGATCATAAAGAAACATGGTGAAGATGAAAGGAAGAAGAGACTGTGAAGTTGGGGCAAATTATGCATCATTTAATATTTGACAGCATGTTTACAATATGTATTAAAGTCTGGAATTGGGACCAGACACAATGCAAGTAAGTGAGACAGGTTACCTGTCACTTTTGGCTGTCTCTACTGAGGCATAGTCTTCCTCCTGTGTTATCCAATTACATTGCCAGAAAAATGAACATCACATTTTTTAGGTCCAGGACTACTTCAGGAACTGACATCTTCTTATGTATCCGAATGCCTCCTCATTTTTATCCTACCCATTTCTTTCTTTAATCTCCAAGCTTGGTTTTTTTTCTGTTTTCCCAGCATTTCTTTTGTACACATTCTGTACCAGTTCTCCCCTAGCCTAAGAAAGATGTGATTTTCAAAACTAGAAAGTAGCAGTCCGCAATAAGAAGGAATTAAAAAGGAGATTGTGCTTTTTGCCATGATGTACAAAACAGGCATTTGGTTTGATTTTTGAAGGGTTTTTTTTAAGTATTACCTTCATTTTTGCAACATCAGGTTTTATGTATTTTGCCAATTGATAAATGTATTGGATAGATAACTGGGAAGGAAATTGGACAAAGTTATGGAAAATAGGAAGGAAATGGATTTGATGACTTAAATGAGAAGTACGCTGGGTTTTTTAAATCCCAAATAATCATATCTTTTGCAAAATGTTAGGATAACTAAAAGATACTAAAAAGATAGTAAACCAAAGATTTGGATAAAGCCTGGTGCTGGTTCCAGCCAGGCTGAGCTGTGTTTGGATTCATTATGAGAATAATGCCGATAACACAATGATTTGGTTGTTGCTCTTACTCTAAATCAAGGGTTTTTCATTGTCTCATGCCCTGACATCAGGTGCACATCAGCTACATGAGAAACTGGGAGGGAGCATGGCTGGGACACCTGACCTGTACTGGCCAAAGCGATGTTCCTCACCACAGAATATGCCCAGAATATAAACGAGGGAGTTGACTGGGAGGGGCTTATTACTGCTAAGGAATGGGATGGGCATCAGTCAGGGAGTGGTGAGAAGCTGTGTTGTGCCACACTTGTTCGTCTTGGGTTTTATTGTTCTCTCCCTCTTTCATTTTTGTGATTAATAGCAGTAATAGATTAGTAGATGATGATTATATTTTGTTTCAATTATTGAACTGTTACTTCTTAACTTATGTTTACCTTTTCTTTCCAATTCTCCTCACCAGGGTGGCAAGGGGAAGTAAGTAAGCATGGAACTTAACTGCTGCCTAGAGTTAAATCACAACAAGTTTTCACTTTAAAGGATTAAAAAAGACCTTTCTTCCACAGGAGAAAGAGCAAAACTTAAGAAATAAAGTTTGTTGATTTCTTACAACAGTTGTTATGAGGAGGATTGTACTTTTTTTTTATATATATATTTTCTTAGAAGACATGAAGTAGAATATTTTAAAAGTAACATTTAGAAAACAAACTTCAAATCTGCCCTGGTCTTTTTTGTAAATCTTAAAACTGCAAGTCAAGTTTTATAGAGATGAATCGTGCATCATCTGTATGTAAACGTATTTACTTAAGTTACTTTTAACAGTTATTTTTATTCTCTGCTTTCTAGATTTAGTCTAAGCATATCTCTCCTTATTTAGGGGTAAGTCTTACGACTTACTCACTGAACTTGTCTTGGTTTTGTGCAAATATTAAGTATAATGCTTCCTACAGAAGCATCTTTTCCACTTATGTGTAAAGCTGGGCAGCTGGCTTCATGTCCCTTTGCTTCTGCTTACTCTTACCCCTTTGACTTGCAAGTTCTCAAGGGCAAGTCATGTTTCATATTGTGTGGGTTTGCCTGTGACATATGCCAGTGTATATATTGCCTGAGATAGTGATGTCCTGTTACAGATTTGATGTTCTCTGCATTAATGTCATGCAAATAAAGGTAATACATGTCAAAATAACAGCATGCTAGAAAGTGAGCTGCCATGCTTACCCGCAGACTTTTGTAGCCACTACGTCTTTTGTAATACCAGCAGCCAAAGGCAAGTAAAGTTGCCAGCACCAAAATGAAAAGTCCAATGCCCAGAGCTCTGTCAAGAAAGCAAAACAAAATAATAACACCACCACTAGATGTATGCTCCTGAGAGCAAGAAAGATTTGAGCACAAGTTTGTATCAGTGCCCTTTCATCAGAGGAAGGCATGGCGTAGAATTTACCTCAGAAAATGGACAAAATATCAGTAAATTCAAGTCTCTGTAGATTTAGCAGTTAGCTAAGTTCTCTGCCAAGTTCTTAATCATTTTAAAAATAAGAAATATATGTCTTTGAAGATAATAGTCTACCAGTGACTGCTGCTTCTGAAAGGATACCTGCCTGTAAATCCAGCAAACAGCATTGCAATATTGGAAAAGAATGTGAAATAAATTAAATGCCACACCTGCAGAGATGGGGGTCATGTTTATTTGCTGAATTTCTCTAGGCAGCAAGTATTGAGAAATGTATCCTGATTTCATCACATTGCAACAACTGCTGGTAGTGGAAGAATTTTTTTGATACAAAAAACACTATAAAACCTTAAATACGACTAAGAAACTTTGAATTATTCATTAAGAGCTCTGTAAGGATTTAGTTCTTGTTTCGTGATGTGCTAGGCACAGTATTGGTGTCACTGGGTCATTTTAGGGAAAATACACTTAGCAAACTGCTCTGACATCCTTCCTACTGGTCACAGGGGACTTTGGAGAAGCAGCATTCCACTGTCTGTCAGAAAGCAAGCTGTCAAAGTAATTGTAAGTTTCCTAGTCAAAACCCCCCTCCTTTCTGTGTTAATATTCTCCCTGCTAAGACATATGGAATTCATTCCCCATTTTTTTTTTCTGTTTCTGGTTTTCTTTCAATGCAATTTTTTCACCAGCTTAAAGGCTAATGTAGGTTTTGGTTTATGCTTACTCTTCTGCTGCAAAATAGGTGTGTCCTCTGCCTCTGAAATAGTTGCCATACGGGTGGTCGTTTCGTCTGCGCATTTTGTGAGCTTGGTCCTGCTCAGACCTACAGGGTAGAAACACCATGCCTTAGTATGATAAATAATTGTAATCTTTAAAGTGTAATATTATCAACTTCTGTGTTTTAACCAGAGCATTTTAGGGAGGCAGGATAATCTGATCTCTTCAGAATCAAGTAGATCCACACACATGTGCAGCTGTCCCAATTTAAGACAAAACTCTAACTATAGGCTGTAGTCTACATTTTAGTATCTCCAGTGACATAAAAGTATTTGCACCTGACTGTAACAGAGAAGAATTTAATGTCATCTTTTTAGGTACAAAGTGATGGCAGATTTCTGAAGTACAGTCTAGAATACACAAAGAAAAGCAATTTACCTGGACAAGAAAAATTATTGAGAAGAAAAACTAATACTGTCCTTACAAGTAGCTGTTTATTTCTGTTATTCCCTGTAAACAATCAGGGGACACATTTTCAATCACTGTAAAGTCTCAGAGATCTGTTGACTTTCAGATGGGAATAGTAATTTATGTTTTCCACAGTTTAAACTCAGATGTGCAGGGAATTTATGTTATAATCTTAACTCCCAGTCTTAAGGTAATAATCATCCAGCTCCAAGCTGTCTTAACAGTTAAAAATCTAATTATCAAATATAGTGAATAAGAAATCCACAAGTAGTCATGTTTCTGTCATTTAAAGCGCACAACAGTAGATCCTACTTGATAGTATCCAGCTAAGCTACCTACCTTACACAGGTAAAGTTTAAAACACAAGAACAGTTCTAGCCAAGGAAGAATAACATCTATGAGTTCACTTAGAGACAGTCAAGCCTCTTCTGGAGCATAATTTTGAAACGAAGGAGAAAATTCTGTGTATAATAAAAATATACAAATCTTTATGTAGAATAAAAAAGCATACATCTTACCTCCTTCAGATCTGTATTCTGTTAACTGAAAGGCATGTGCAGCTTTCTTTTCCTTGACTTGGTCTGTTTTTTTCTCCTTTGATCTGTTCTCTTATGACTATCACGAGTTTAAATTCCTTTTAGTACAGCTTCTGAATGTGTTAATTAGCATGAAAGGGGAAGCACATAACTTTTCATTTTCTTCTATGCCCTTCCCTCTTATTAAGCATCAGAAAAATCTGTTATTTCTTGATTTTTATTACATACCCTGTGAGAGGCATCTCAGCACCTTTTTACCTTCCCTTTTTACAAGCTTCTAGAGTGGACAGACTATTTCTAAATTTAAATGTGTTTTGATTTAGGGCTGATTATTCTGTGACAGAGGACTAGTATTTTTGCATGTCTTTACTATAACTTTGTTTACGCACACTTTTTACATCATTTTAACACTGTGCAAACTAGTATATTTGGACAAAAAACTTATAGGTGGATGACGTTACACTGTGACAGAAATGTCTTACATTTGGACAAATACAATTTAATTCTGTACTAATAAGCAAATACTGCAACAACAAGAGAGTCTGTCCCATGGGCTGCAGAACTAATAAGACTGGGTTAGGACTTGTAATTCATACAAGTCCATACAAGTCCTTCGTGTGTTAGCACAGGCAATTCATACAAGTCCTTTGCATGGACTTGTATGAATTGCTGGTGCTAACACGGTGGTAATTCCGTTTACAAGACCAGGCAAGAAATGGCAGTCTGTGATTGATTCAGTGGTCTGGGTACTGTGATGGACAAGCAGTCTTAAATATTTTTGAAAGAAAGAGAAGATACAAAAACCATGTTCTGCTTGTCATTTGTCTTAATGAATCATTAATCTGAGCCTCTCTGTCCTTCCACAGATTTTTTAAGTTTGAGGAACTAAAAACTTTTAATAAGTTTTCACTTGTCTTTGAAGCTGTCTAAATGTAGTGAAAACAGCTGACAGACTGAAAAGCAAATAGGAGAGAACAGACAGTATGAGAACATCCATTTCATTAGGAAACCAGATGAAAAGTCTTAACATCGATATTCTTAGCTAGTGCAAGTCTGAGAGGTCTTTTTCTGCTTATGTGTTTTGCTTAATAATGGTAGAAATGTGATCTGCCTTTAGATATTTTTCCGTGGTGGTGCTTAGTAACAGGACCAGAGGCAATGGGCACAGACTGAAACACTGCTGCTCTGAACATCAGGAAACTTTTTTTTCTGTGAGGGTGACTGAGCACTGGCACAGATTGCCTGGAGAGCTTGTTGGGTCTCCCACATTGGAAATACGCAAAAGCTGTCTGGACACAGTCACGAGCAACCAGCTCCAGGTGACCCTGCTGGAGCAGAGGGTTAGACCACATGAACTCCAGAGGTGCCTTCCAACGTCAACCATGCTGTGATTAACACCAGAAGGATCTAGCTAGTTTTGCTGGACCCATTAAACAACACTGTTTTCATGGAGGAGAAAATGATGGGAACAAAAAGAATGAATAGTGAGGAAAATAAACTCCCTAATTTGGACAAATCATTCAATGCTTTATATTATCTAATTCTTTATATTATACTCAACAGGAGTTTCAAAAGGGGAAGAGATAAAGGGAAGTTTCTATAGATATCCACATGTGTAAAACTGCAAGTGGACGTTCACAGTCTGTCAAGTTCCCAAGCAACATGTCAGCCCTTGTGCACCCTGAAAATGTCACAGAGCTCCTTATCAAATCATGTGTTTTCCTGAAGAAAAGCTTAATTACTGGGAGAGGATGATAACTGAAGGGCATTGGTTGGTCTTGTGAGAATCAAGACGTAGAGTAAATCCATGTGATTACCAAACCCAGTCTCTGCCTCATACTTGCCTCGAGCAATATGTGGGGCAAAATGTCAACTGCTTGAATATTTTGTGTTCTGAATGAATCTCTTGTAACAACTTTGTCATGGATCTGTGGCACCATCTGGAATGTAAATGCAGAATGCTGCTAATTGAGGAATTGGATGAATGAGAAGGTGAAACACCACAACCTGGTTCTGATCTCAGGATTTTACAAAATCTTAGTTTTCTGAGGTAGTGCTGCTAAATACATCAGTGTAAAGTCACTGGAATTATGAATGGGTTTCACAGGTGTTACCTTTTCAAAGATAACATTTCAGGAGAAGAGGATGGAAGAGAAGGATTACTTGGGGGTTTCTCCCAAGTTACTTTGGTTTTGTTGTGATAGCCAGAACGTGTGGCAAACCCAGGACTCTCATGAATCTTGATCATAAGAATTAAATGAATGCTTCTAGTGTAACTGAAAATAACAGGCTTGACCTTTGTAAAAGAATAGCTGTTGTTTTTATGCTGTTGACATTGTGACTCCATACTTCTAGGAGAAAATCTTGGGATTTTTATTAATTTATTTCCCTTAATTGATAATTATTTTTCTCTGGCATTTGAGGCTTCCTACAGCAAACAAAGCAAAAAAATGTAAGTACCTTGACACTTGATTTAGTGAAGGCTTTAGTTTTGAGTTTTATGGGAATTTCGGTGGAAACTCACAAGTATTTCAGTGCTAAATCTACATTAACAGTAACATGGTACGGTAAGAAAACTCCTTTCAGTTTCTCCTCAGAATCCTCATTTCTCCCTGGTTTGGGTATTTACTTTGAAGTACATATTATCTGGCTTTAAGGCTGAACAGTTCCACTGTAGGCCTTATTTGGAGCTTTTTGAAAAGAAGCTATTCCTCAAACAGCTGCTAACTTGACTGCAGGGACCTCTAGGAAGTAACATGTTGTCCTGTAGACTGCCTTGCACAAACACCATTGGTATGTTCATCCTGAAAGCCTAGTTCATCATAGAAAGTTCCTCCTCAAGGAATTTCCAAGTGAACCTCTGGTCCTTGCTGTCAGGCCCATCTCCCTCTGCTCTATCTCTGAAACTTACAATAAAGAAGGAATGGTAGTCTTAATCCTGTAGTAGCTGTGCCAAGAGGATTACATGATTGCAGTGGTGCCTATGTGGCTGTGCTGTGTTTTCCCAAGGAAAAAAGGTTGGATAGCTTTCTGGCAACGTTTTTCTTTGCTCCTACTTGGTGGTTGACTGGAGGTTCTGAGCCCAGGGAATTGTTTTGATTTGTGGTACTTCCTCTGTGGGATGCAGGGTGACCAACTGTGGGTGAAAAACGTTTGGATGCAGTTGGGCACTATCAGGGTGAGATTGAATTATGACTTCCCTTGCCATCCCTGGATTCAGGAGAATGGCAGTGCTTTCTAAAGCCTTACCTACTGGTCCTGTTCCCACCAGTAGGTTGATAACTGGTTTGGGGTGAGAAACTCCTTGCAGATGAGCTGCTGATTTAGGCCTCTGAGGCCATCCCTGAAACATTTTGTTTGAAGAAAATTAATGTAGTCAACACGGACTGTGTCCTTAGGACTTGGATCAAAACAGTCCTTTGCAGTACATTGCCCAGGGTGGTGGTGAAGTCACCATCCCTGAAGGTCTTTCAAAGGCATCCGGATCTGGCTCTGGGTGATGGTTTAGTGGTTCAGGGGGTTGAGTGTTAGTGCTGCGTGGATGGTTGGATTGGATGATTTTAAAGGTCTCTTCCAACCCTGATGATTCTATGATTCTGAGTAATCCCTGCAGTAATAGTCCATTGAAACTTAACTTGGAATATTGCCACTACAGCTGAAGTAAAAGCAGTCCCAAAATTAATACAAACAATAATAGTTCAACTCTGGGCATGAGGAGAGCAGACTTCAGGCTGCTCAAGAAGTAACTAAAGTGCCCATGAGAAATGATTTTGTACTCTGGGGTCTATCAGTGCTGGTCACACTTTAAAGATCACGTCCTGAGGGCACAGGAGCAGACAATTCCAAAATGTTGCAAGTCAAGCAGATGAGGCAGAAGGCCAACTTGGCTGAGCAGGTATCTGCTCTTGGAAATAAGGAGAAAAAGGAAGGTGTATGCCCATTGGAAGCAAGGTCCAGTGACATGGGAAGAATACAGAGATGCAGCTTGCCACAGTAGGGAGAAAATTTTTGCAGCTGAAGCTCAATTGGAGTTGAACCTGTCAGAAATGTGGGGGACAAGGAGAAGAGGGTTTTTTT